TAGATGGGTGTGTATTTTGGTATTTTTTTGTGCTTTCTGATTGCCTCCAGGTAGATGTGATCAAGAAATGGGCTTTCCTTTTCACTCTTCTTCCTGAGAAATTTCAAGATGCCACTGTTGATCGTTTTGACGTAACTTCTGGATTTAATTTTTGGTCTATTTCCTTTTTTGTCTGCTTGTCCCACTCTACAATCCCCGTTCAGGCCTTTTTCCTAGTGATAAACAGTTCAGGGCCGGCTGTGGCCGTTTGGTTTAAAGTGGAAACTGTCTCTTTAAATTTTGAGGAGATCTGTGTGCATGCGTAGTAGAACCCCCCAAGGGTGGGGCTGGGGTGTCCACTAGCTCAGGCACCCCTATATTCACCAGAATGGAGGTCCTCAGACAGCAAGGGACCAATGAACAGATACCAAAAGAAAAGAATGTCCACACCTTTATCTCCGTGGTTCTGCCAGGTGTCTGTGGCAGCTCCTATCCTTCCCCTGCTTGATCTCACCCAAGATGGTGTTCCTGGAGCAACTGAGCATCCTGAACTAGAAAACAATGGGTTTCTTGCTTCTGCCACAAATTCCCCCAGCTGTAAGCCTTCCAACCTTATAAATATTCCTTTATATGTGGGTCAGAGTTCTGGGATCATCGCCTGAGCCCGCTTGGTTGGATATTCTGTGTTGTTGCTGATGGAGCTCCCTACTACACTTCCACCCAATCCGCCATCTTGTTTGTTCTCTGCTAAATCTCTTTTACTTACTTTTTGTGTGCTACTGTGTACGAATTTCCTAGAATTAGACGAACTATTAAAAGATTATAGGTACTTTTTAAGGCTTTAGATAGAATTTGAAGCCCTGAATGTGATTTCATTGTTGAGTTATCTCTTGGTTAGTTTGGTTGATCAGGTGAGTGGTAGAAAACCAATTCTTTTAGTTGTGTTTGGTTAAAGGTTTGTTTTACAAAACGTGGTTTCAAAATTTTCAACAGTGCTTAATTACTCCTTAACACAGTTATATAACTTCAAAATTTGCGTTTTCCTCCTACTTTAATTTTACTTAAAAAAAAAAAAATTCTTACACGCAAAAATATAGTAATCTAGTAAAATAGAAACCAATTGTATAAAGTAATAAGCTGTATGAGGAGCTCTTGTGGCACAGTGATTAAGCACTTGGCTGTTAACCAGAAGGTTCAAATCATCAGCTTCTCCACGATTAGAAATGGGGGCAGCCTTATTTTCTATGGAAACTCTGGGGCAGTTCTATACTGCCCTATAGGATCACTGTAAGTCAGAATTGACTCGATGGCATTGGGTTTGGGGTTTTGGTTAATAGACTATATACCTTCTTTTAAAAACTGAATTCGTTACACTGCCGTGTGCTACTGAGTCCATTCTCTAAGTCATAGCAACCTGTCTAGGGTTTCTAAAGGCTATAAATCTTTATGAGAGCAGAAAGCCTCGTTTTTCTCTTGCGAAGTGGTTGGGGGATTTGAAGTATTGACCTTGCAATTAGCAGCCTAATGCATAACCCATAATTGCATATAAATGTTTTCAGTAAGCATTTATTGACTTTAATTTTACATTACATTCATATTCATTTCTGGCCAGTGGATTTATTGGCAAAGTGGCACCATCAATGGGCTAAGCTTGACAACACTTTTGAGGTGGCCCAGGATCAGGCAGTGTTTCCTTCTTTTATGCATAGGGTCACTATGAGTTGATATCGACTCGACGGCACCTAACAAGAACGAACAGAACACTATTGTCTGCTTTCTTAACAGCACTCATTTTAGAGGAGATTGCCATTGACTGTCATAATAAAGAAACTGAACAGAGGCTGCTGCAAGAAGCTCATGATTTGCACCTGTCTTCGCTCCAGCTAGCTAAAAAAGCTTTTGGAGAATTTAATGTCCAGACTGCAAAACACTATGGAAACCTTGGGAGACTTTATCAGTCAATGAGAAAATTTAAGGTAGAAACCTATTTTTCTGGATTTGTATCACTATGTTGAATAGAGTATACATTAATTATACTTATCCTTTATTCGTTAATTTCATTCGACAAGAGAGTTGGGAAAACAGCAAGTATATAAAATAAGATTCAAAAAATTAAATTAGGGCCATGGGACATGTCAAACCATAAAAACTACTTAACGCAAAGAACAACAATGAAGAAAATGACGAAGTGCACAAACAAAATGAATGCAGCAAAAGAATTACGGAACAAAGGAACCAGCAGCACCACAAAAATATACACCTAGCAAAATGATGGCAATCAATTAATACCTGCCAATAATTATACTGAATGTCAGTAGACATTCAAACATACCCAGCAGGGGACAAAAAGGAGGAGGAATAAGAAAACAGGGCCCATCAGTGTGTTATCTATAAGTGATACACCGTACACACAGAGGAAAGTAGACTAAAAATCATAGATTGGGGAAAAAGTATATCAAGCTAACTCAAACTCACCAGCCACTCTTCAAAAACCCACAGCTAACTGAATGGTACTTAACAACAGCAACAACAAATGGCCATCATAAAGTCTTAATACAATTGAATAGAATTGAAACTAGGTTTCAGAGGAGGCTCTTGTTGTTGTTGTTGTTTTTGTTAAGTGCCGTCGAGTCGTTTCCAACCCATAGCGACCCTGTATAGGGTTTCCGAGGCTGTAAATCTTTACGGGAGCAGAACTCCTCATCTTTCTCCCATGGAGCTGCTGGTAGTTTCGAACTGCTGGCCTTAAGGTTCGCAGCCTGATTCGTAACCATTACGCTACCATATGAACAGCACTTGGGAATTTCTGACATAGGGTAGGTTTGCAATAAAAGGTTAGATATTGCAGATATTCATGTATTATTGATACTAGTAATAAAGTTACACTTACTTTAGTTCCTTTTTAGAATTCTGAGATATAAATACTTAGTGTTGTTCATTTTAGAGTTACAGTAAAAAAAAGGATAAGAGTCACTGCCTAAGATAGTTAATTTCTAAATAAAAATTCAGTCTACATAGTTCTCAGTCAGGGATGGATTATTGAAACAAAAATTGACCAAATACCTAAAAAATAAAGTCAAACATGCTTATATGTAAACTGACTTATTATGATAATGAATTTCATAGTAAGATTCAAGAAAGTTATAGAATGTGTTATCTAAAAGTGATAATTTTCATTTTAGAATGTTTTAACTTCTAACAATTCTTTTGTTATCTGGACAAGTTTTCTCTAGTTATCAATTTACTAGTTTCCAAAAGCTGATAATGCTTGTCTTAGGTAACTTTGGGAACAATATAAATATGTTCTTTGATTTATAACATCCATAAAATGTCTTTGGCCTGTTTATTAGGTAAGAATTGTTGAAATGAAAACCAGTATAATCTGATGATTAATACGGCTTATTGTCTTTCAGGAAGCTGAAGAAATGCACATCAAAGCAATTCAGATTAAAGAGCAACTTCTTGGTCAAGAAGATTATGAAGTAGCCCTTTCAGTAGGCCATCTGGCTTCATTATACAATTATGACATGAATCAATATGAAAATGCTGAGAAGCTTTATTTGCGATCCATAGCAATTGGTATGTTACCTTTTAAATCTGCTCTAGTCAGTTGATTAGAGAGAAGCCTGTGAATTTATTCTGTGTAAGTGAAATATTATATACTAAGATTTAAATATTTTTAGAGCTGCAAAGAGTAGGAACCACTCCAAAATCATCTGGGATGTTGCTAATGGTGATTTATTGATTTTTAAAGCCAATACTAAAATATATGGCAGTAGAGTGCCAACTACAGTTATAAGTAGTTCTTTTAAACTCATTTGTACAATGACCTATACTCTTAGCTATACACAGGTTTCCTTGGTTTTGAACATGAAATAAAACAATATGTATTTTTATATGTCTGGTGAACATTAATAGTGAAATACATTTGTGTTTACCTATCAGTGTCACTTACTGATTTCCAGTGTTAAATAACATTTGATTAACATATCATTTATTCATCTACTATTTAAAATAAGATGTGCATTTTTTAAAAGTTATAATGTTTTATTTTTCAACTTTTTGTTATGAATTGAGTGAAAGTATACAGAGCAGATCATCAGTTTTACATTCAGTAAATCATATACAGAACTTCATTACATGATTGCAATCCCCTCCGTGTACCATCAGTTCACAGCATTTACCTCTATTCACTGGAACTCTAGCATTCCTCCCTATGTTTCCTGCTACCTTCATCTTTCCTCTGCTAACCTCACTCTTGGTGTGTATTGCTTGCTTTGTCACCCATGTTAACATATGTCTAACCTCTAGTCCATGAATACTTTCCCTCCCCCTCCACTGTAACCATCATAGATTATTTTTTTTAATCAAGAAAACCATTTTTCACCTTAGACACTGTCCTTTGTGATTGACCGATTGCACTCAGCACTGTGTTCTCCAGGTTGAATCATGTTGTGAGACATTTTACAGGTCATCATTTTTCAACATTTTTACTATTCCATTGTGTATATGTACCAAAGTTTGCTTAACCATTCTTCTGTTGATGGGCATTTAGGCTATCTCCATCTTTTTGATCTGTCTTTTGTAGACAGCATATTATAGGATTCTGTTTTCTTAACCATTCTGCTCTCTGTCTCTTGACTGGTACATGCACTCCATTTATCTTCAGTGTCATTACACATAGGTATGAGTTGATATTTTCCTTTGTGTTTTTTGTGATGCTGCTGGATCTTTGTTCAACATAATTTTCAATGC